AAAAAAAGGAGGCAGTACATAAGCCCCTCTCAAAGCCAGACACCCATTCGTTAAAGAAGCTGCTAAACACAGCCTCACGCACACTCCCTCGTGGTAGCCAAACTGTTTATGGCACGATTACAAGCAGAGCTGCGCTAGATTACTTATACAGGGATTAGGTGTGTCCGGTGTGGCAATGTAAACCTGATGGACAGTAACCAGCTTTGCAGAGCTGCACATGTACTTTCACTAACATATTTCATAGGCAACGTGTTGGAATCCTACACAAAGGCAGACCATCTGCTTCCATACATAAAAGATGCGTCAGCATTACATCCTGCGTAAATAATGGGAAAAAAAACAGATTATGTATTTAAAAAACAATTTGTATCTGCTGTTTAATTTCCAGCTCTCTGCACTTTGTGTATGGAAGAGCCCACACATGCTCACGCACACGTGTTAAATGTTACCTGAAAGACACTGTGCCCTGCAGAAAGAGCAGGATGCCCTTAAGTATGTAAAAAGAGATGTCTCTCAATATAGGACTGCTTTCATTATTGCCAGTGGCAGTCAGGTACATATATGGAGAAAATAATATTGTGTTACCTTCAGCCCCACACCTCTCCTCCCAAAAATAGCTGTTATTTTTTATGAATAAAGGGAGATAGGGAAGTGTGACAATGCAAGTTGCACTGAACAGAAAAAAAAATTGCATTCTGATAGTTCCAAAATATTTGCTACGCTAAACTTTCCAAAATACCCGTACTTATCTATATACTGACTTAATTCTAGCAGTATAGCACAGCCGTCCTTAGCATTATAATGGTATTCATTCTATGTAAGGGCTTGCATACAGCCAGAGCCATCCCTAGGGGTGTGCAGGGCCTGGGGTGGGGGTGGTGAGCGGCCAGAGCTGGCAGCGCTTGGCAGCAGCAGGGCCTATGCAGCACTGACCACAGAGCCCCACAAAACACAGGGCCTGGGGGCGGTTGCCCCGATTCACCCCCACCAGGGACAGCCCTGCATACAGCTATACCAACATGGGAATGGGAATAAGCTATAATAGTATTGTACAACAGACACAATTCTAATACAATTATATTGTTTGATGTTTTTTTAAAGTCACTCCTGTTCGAAACAAGGATACTGGTGCAAAAATCCGTGCACACAAAGTGTAAGTAGTAAGTAGGAGAGATACTACAGAGAAGACGTGCAGACCCAGTACAGTCGCAGTACAAATGTTTCCAGACTAACCTCTGAAGAACCATGCCAGACAAATTATCTGAAACTATAACTGAAAACTCTAATTTTGAAAATTAGTTTAGGGACCTCATGAGATCACAAAGAAGGGGAATCACTTAAAAATGAAAGGGCTTCCAGTTGGTACTGGTTTATAGCAAACTACTTTCCACAAGGATTTTGAACTCAGTCATTCTGTGGCTGTTCCACATTCACGCCCAGACAGTTGCGCGCTAGGGAAGGCTACAGGTTAACAAATGAATTGTGTAGCAGGTACAAATATAAGCATAATTCGTCAATAAAATGTCTTACTGTCATGCAAAATCTAAACTGCACTGGGATCGGACCCAGAGGTGTCTTGAAAATCTTAACAGTAATCCAGTCTCTTCTTTTGATCTACGATACTTTTCTAATCATATAAAATAGCAAGAAGCAAACCTCCTTGACACAGCTGTAGGTGTAAATCAGATTCAAATCTATTTGAACACAGATTTTTAGAATCAGAACACAGGGTTGCACATCATATTTCTAAGTTGTGCAAGATTTAGTGTCATTCTTTAGTTCAAGATGAAAACCATGCTTCTCTTTTAAAAAAAGGATCAATATTTTTCTTGAAAACAGTGTTGGACAACATGAAATCTTTAGCACCTATCCTAAAACTACATAACTAAAGTGTACTTTCTTGCAGGCCACATCATCAACTGGCATTTTCACATTTTGAGTACAAAATGCAGCTTACCTGCAAATGAAAAATCATGCAGCTCTTACAGTGCAGTCGTGAAAGCTGAATTGTTTTACATACACTAGCAATTCATCTGCTACTCAGTTCTTTAAATGGGCAGAAAATCAGGTGTTTCTGACTTAGTTTCAGATTATAGTGGCTTAAGAAGGTAGCCTGTGTCACCAAATCCTTTTACATAACAAAGGGCCTAATCACATATGGTGAGCATCCTCTGGCCCCCTCACTTTCCGGCCCACTCACTTTTATGAATAGAGGGCTGTTGCAGCTGTTGTACAGGACTAAAGCTTTGATTTAAATCAAACAAAAACTCTCAGGATTTGTTCTGGGATTGGTGAGAAGCTAAATAGCAGTTAAACACACACACCGAGAAACTAGAATCCCTGGCATTTCCTATAGTACTTCATTACAAACTATGTTCTACGATGCTTATGAATAGATAAAAAGAGATGCAACTGCTGCATCTAGTAAAAGCATCAGATTCATTCTAATCCTTTCACATAATTAATACTGAGCCTGCACACACTGAGACCACCTAACTCCAGACACAAGCTCCAGTTGAGCTACAAACACATCCTTGAAAAGCCCCCAAGAAAAATTATGTCAACTCTGTCATCAACTACAAGGGAAGTTTTTGGAGGAATGCGAGTAGGTCCCTTTTTGTATATCTGCTGTGCAAGAATTGGAGAGATGTAAATGCCCTCTGTCACACGGGAGCCAAGAAGCAGAGCTGCAGCCCAGTGGCTGGAAGAGCCACAACTCTGTACTACCTGCATCTCTTGCTGCTCAGAAGTAGAAGCTCCTCCAACAAGGATCCCAATACATGCTCTTATTGCTGTTCTACAAATGGGCCCGGTCACAGAACGACTTTGAAAACAGCCACCAGCGGCAAGGCATGCAGCTCTGGTGCTTTCCCTATGGGGTTACTTTGCCAGCAGCCCCCCTTTCCTGGCCAGGCTTTAGGGCTTAGCTTACATAATGCCAAGGCCTGAGCTTCCACCCTTAACCCCCCACCCCACACTTACAAGTTTCCAGTCTTCTCTATATTTATTTCTGCTTTAAAACTTTTGTACGTTTTACTTTTGTTCAGATCATTTTACACGTGGTATCTATTTACAAGAACATAAGTAACAGGGCAAGAACAGTTATAGCAAATCACACTTCAGCTTTTTTAAAATTTTCGTTCCAGCAGGCTGATTTACCAAGCTGTAAGTAACCGCATGGCTGGTTGACCAGGTTCAGCATAACAAAGGCGGTACTATTTCACAGCGTGGTTTGTCCAGCACACAACAAACAGATCAAAGTGCCATAAGCTGCTGCTCCAGTCAAGCATGTAAAAAAGAAAAAAAAAAAGATCTAAGTATTTCAAGGGGTCAGCTCAACTTATAATGTGCCAATTTCTACCACTAAGAATGAGCAAAACATTCTTCCAACAACTACATGAGCCTGCTTACTACCAATTTAAATGTTTTACTCCTGATGTCCTTGCTTGTTCCTAATTTTATTTTTGTTAAAAACAATAGAAACACAGTTGAGCAAATTAGATCTACATGTTTTTCCATCTCTCATGTTGTAAAGACACATTTGAAATGAAGTTACAAAAACATTAGTATAAAGGTACTGGAAAGTTGTCACAAGTCTCAACCCCCTCAAAAGCAAAGCTATTCCAAATCAATACCGACTGCCATTCTTCACTCACTCATCTGGGTCCACATGCTACAAGTCTCCAAAAATTTTGACTCGCGTAACAACGCGCATCGATGTTCAACAGCAATTGTGCAGGCATTCAGATGAAAATGTAACTCTTAACGTATTGTGGTACCTCACAATCCCGGAATAATTTAGAGATAGGATTGTATCATTTGTCTCCATATTCTCTGGAAGTTTTTAATAATCTCTAAAGAGATACTGTTACCCATCCTTTGTTGCTGATGTTGTTGAAGTCTGCTGGGGCAGAAAAGGCTTTTTTTAATATGAAGGAAGTAACGTTCAGTCTCTCACACACTGAGACCACATAACTTCAGATGTCTAAATTAGGCTAATATATTATGTCTAAACAATTGTATGATGAGAGAGCAGCATATTGTCCACTGCAAACGTGATCATCTTGGGACTCTCCTTGGAGTCCCAAGGCTGCAGTAAAAGCGCACAGAAAAGTACGATCATTGATTTCCAGAAGCTCTAGAGTTGTCGGTCCACAAGAATCTACAGCTTCTAACACATGGGCAGGCAATTATTTTGGGTGGATGGCTGCTTAACAAGTTACAGCGAGCTGTCAAGGGCTGCGTGGGTATCCCTGCCCCTTGACGGGTGCCCTGCCCCCTGGTTGTCATATTAGGACCAGAAGTCCTGCCCCCAAACCCTTGATCTTTGCCACAAGAAGTCCCTCCCTTGCCCCCACAAATACTCCTTTGGGGGGGGGGGTTGCCATTTTAGAACCAGAAAAAAACCGAGTCATATGCTGAAAGTCAAATGCCTGCTAGAACATATTTTAATTTTATTACAAAAAACAGGTGTTATGGTTGTGTATGGCATATAGGAGGGATTGGATAATAACTCAAAAATAAAGTCTCACTCTTATATTGTTTG